GACAGCTTTGTGCTATGTATAACTTCCCAGTTCCCACCACAACAGTTTAATAGGTTCCCCAGGCCTTAAGTACAACTTCATGGCTATGTGTCATATTAAAATAGCATGGCATTGGGGTTAAAGCAGAGCATAAGGCAGGCAGGAAGCTTTTATTGAGGTTTCAGTAGTCAACCCCGTCGAGGTTGTGCATGTAACTTTTTACTACTTTGGGTTTTCCTAATCAGAAGAGAAGTTTGGTCAGCAGAGGACGATGCAAGTACACGCTTTCACTCCGAGTTCTGTCAGGAAGTTATGATGACCATTCAGGGGCTTTGGTGAGCCCTCCTAACACCTAGAGATATGTGAGCAGGAGGTCTGTCAAGTACCTGTCCTTTAAACAAGAAGAACTGACTTTAAAAACTGCTTTTCAGTCAAGGATGGCGGTACACGCCTGTAATTATAGCCCTAGAGGGGCAGAGGCAGGAGGATTAGGAGCTCAAGAATGGCCCAGGCTCCAGGAAACTCGATGGCAAACAAAAACTACTTTTGAAAGCTTCAAGAAAAATAGTTTGGGTTTGTTTTTAAGACCACAGATGTATAAAGGCAAAGGAAGTTAAAAAAAAAAAAAAGCAGGAGCCTTCACAGGTGGACGAAAGCTCTGGTTCCCACTCATGAAGCTGGGTCATTAAAGGACGTCATTTACAGTCATTTACTCCGAAACACACCACGCCTTGGAAGACATCCAAGCCTTGGAAGACATCTAAACAGCAGGCGTTTTCAATTGCTGAAAAACTGAGGTGACAGATACAGATCAAAAACACTGATGGGCCTGGGCCAGTGGCTCATGCCAGTAATTTTAGGACATGGGGAGCTGAGGCAAGTGGGTTTGGAGAACTCAAGGACAATCTTACAAGTCAGTCTGGGCTATAGTGAGATGCTGTCTTAAAATAGAAAGGACGGAAGGAAGGAAGGAAGGAAGGAAGGAAGGAAGGAAGGAAGGAAGGAAGGAAGGCAGGCAGGCAGGCAGGAAGGAAGGAAGGAAGGAAGGAAGGAAGGAAGGGTACTACACTCTTCACCTGAAGTGGTCACTGCAGAAGACACAATCTTGAGTATGTGGTGAATCTGATATCAAGAACTTAATTCTTCCAATGGGCACAACCAGAGACATGGTTTCTCGGTGTAGCCCTACCTGTCATAGAACTCGCTCTGTAGAACACGATGGCCTTGAACTTACAGAGATCCATCTGCCTCTTGCCTCTCCAGTGTTGGGATTAAATGTGTGCACCACCACTGCCCTGCTAAAACTAAGGTCTTTTGCTCTTGAATTGCTTTTGTTTCCTGGCATTAAATGGCCAGATAAAGAAAAAGTGGATCTGCATGCAGACCATCAAATGAGCATAAATACAGAACAAGGTACAAAGAGCACAAGGGTGTAATTTTACCTGAAAAGAAATGATTCATGAACACACACACACACCACAGTCTTTTTCTTTCAAGTGTGACACAAAAAGAAGAAATTATTCCCCAAAGCGAAGAACTGAACAGGGAGGGGGGAGATCAGAGTAAATGAAACCAATTGCAGAGGTTCCCATTCTGAAGAGAAGGGAAAGGGGAGGGGCATTAGGGCAGGAAAGCAGAAATAATGATACCACCAAACATCACTTCTGAAGGACAGCTTGGAGAAAGAACATCCATCACACAAAAATAAGTGAAGAGGGAGGAAGGAAGCAAAATACACATTTTTTTAAGCAAACAGACTGTTGTTGAGCACACAATGTGTAAAAGACTGGGAGCAGCAAGCTTTGGCGATCTCTAGAGAATGGACTCATGGGGCGGGGGTGGAAGGTGGAGGGAGAGTTGGGTCTCTATCTACTATGCAAGCACTAAACCCAGGAACTTGTCGGAGGCTTTGGATTTTAAAATGAAAAGTATGAAGTGAAACCCTGTGCTAAGGGGCAAGGCAGCTGCCCCAGCTTGTTAAAGGTGGGGGATGCTCCTGTAGGTAGGATGTCAAGTCTGAGGGGTAAAGAGAGGTCAGCTAGGGCATAGCAACACTAGTAGCGCTTCTTGCTCCTGAGATTTAAGAAAAACAAAAGTGCTTTGAGTATAGGAAGAGCCCTTACTGCGGTACACTTGTCCTGCAGGCTTCTTCCCAGGGCGGGCTGTCCTTGGGCTCTGTCCAGGCAGCCTTTCCACCGAGGTAACAGAAAAACAAAACAAAGCAAAACCAAGTACCAGTCCAGAACTTGGCTCCATCCAGAGCAGCCAACTGGATTAACAAGCAGGCGTTTGAGTCCAGTAACCAGTTTAATTTAAACAATCTTTGTCCCTCTCCAAGAAAGAACCAGACTTGGATTTAAAAGTGCCACAAGTCTGGAGGTGCTGTGAGTGGGTCCCCAAAAAACTCAGAAAGGACCAAGGGTGGAAGACAGGAAACGAACCCTTTCGTGCATTAACCAGGGGACAGCTCCCCCAGCGTCCCCTGGTTAATGGGTTAATGAGTCCATGGGGGAAAGGTCAGAATAGGAGGGAATGGGCAGGGTCTCAGTTTACTCACGCCGGGCGGTCGCCGGCTCATCCTACCCAACAGTGGCCCAGAATCTCGCCTGTCCTCGACGGAGACCTCCAGAAACCCGGACGGACACAAACACTGGAAAGAACGGACATCAGGAGGCAGCCTCTCCGACCTGCAGAGGTGGCCCCAGCTGCTAGCCAGGTTACCTGCGCCAGCAAGTCCAACAGGTTCACGGACGCTGGTACCCGCCCAGCGCAAAGGGCATCGCCCCTTCCAGTGACCAAAGAGTAGGGCTCGGAAAAGATGCCAATAGCCCCCAGACCACAATACTGAGACAAGGCCATGATGGATCCCAAGACCCTAATAGGAAGGTTACTTCCGCTTCTGCAGGCAGAACGGACCAGCTAAGGCTCAGAAACCCACCCAGAACCCGGTCCCCGCCCCGTGCCCGCCACGCCTACTTTTCCGGAGGAAGGAAGGAACCTCCCCCCCAACCACACACACCGGGCTAGAGGAACTGGTTTAGGTTAGCGAGTACTGACAAGCTAAAGTTCAAATGTCGCCAAAAACAAAGTACAACATAAAACCTGTAGAAAAAGCCATTTAAGCTGAGTGTGGTGGCATCCGCCCAGACCCTTTTTTTTTGGGGGGGGGATTGCCAAGGAGGGAAGATCACGAATTGTGGGCCATGATATGACCCAGTCAAAAAAGAAAAACCCATTTTTACCAGGTCATTCAACACAAAGGTTACAAGTAAAATAACTTGACCAAAAAGAAAAGTTCCTGTAAGGAAAACATTCAGAATTCACTTACAGCTAGGCAGTGGCGGTGAGACACAGCGAGTTAGAGAGAGGCTCCCCCATCCTCAATTATTGCTCAGGCCTTTTCAAGTCTAACTAGAATTTGAATTCTTTTATAGAGAATCCTGCAGAAAATTGCCCAACTCTGTTCTAGGAACTCAAGTTCAAGGCACCTGCCAGGGCTAGCTTAGCTTCTGTTAAACTGCCTGCCTGCCTGTGCAAAACTCCCCTTCTGACTGCTTACTTGCCAAACCCCTACCCCCCACCCCCACCCCCACCCTGAGTGAGATGCTTGGACATGGTTTCTGCCTTCAATGCCCTGCTAGGGACATTGGGAGCTACACTTAGGTCCTGAATACCAAGTGTAGTCCCAGCTGCCTGGAATAAAGACTTTTCAACTGGGAGTTCTAGGTCAGTCTGGTCTACACAGTGAGTTCAAGGCTGGCCAGGCCTACACAGAGAGCCTTGTCTCAGAAAACCAAAGCATAAAAATAGATACTAATTTGCTTACAAACCAAGGTTGTTTGTGATACGGGAGAGCTGAGCCTTTTGTTTGTTCAGAACCTTTTTAAAACTCATCATTCTTCTATCTAGAATCTCTTTGTAGAGGTTTTAGATTTTAGACCATCCCCATTGGTCAAGGCCTGACTTAGGTAACCCCCTGCTGGCCCCACCCCTTTAGTGTAAGGACAAATTTCAAAGGTTAACTCGGAGGGATTTATTAGTGCCCTTGAATTTACTTCCAGCACTCCAGAATTTACTGTGAACACCAGTGGCCTTTGTTCTATTGCATTCCTTTGTTAAATGTTCAAGCGAACTTGCCCTCCCACACCAATCCTGACCGGGTTAAGAGAAAACATCTTGAAATCTTCATAGTTCTACCCATCTTAAGTGGATGAGAAAGAGTAGCAGGATCGGGCCTACTTTAAGGCATGAATGGATGGATGGGTGGATGAATGGATTAAATAGATTTTGATTGATAAATAGATGGATGATAGATAATAGATAGATAGACATTGCTAGGGAAAGTGTTGTCATTTGTCAACAACACTAAAGTGCTTTGGGAAATAACCTACGCACTTAGCTCTGCTCTTAAAAGTGAAACTGGAGGCAGTGAGTAAACTCAGTCGAGCACGCACACAATTCCTAAAAAGATTCCTATCATCAACTTTTCAAAAACTGGTAGTTCAGACAGTTCAACTCCAGGAAACGAGTAACCCTCAAAATGTTTACGAAAGGCTTTTGTGGTTCGACCAGCCAAGTTAATCTTCAGTTTCCCCCTGGGGTTTACGGGTGTTCCCTCCTGTTCCGGGGTGCACAAGGGTCGTTAAGGGCTACATTCCCACGGGTCCCATCGCGTGAACACACTTGGCCACCTCGGGCCTGGGGCTGTCACCCCCTGCGGACGCCCTGCTGGGACCCGCACAGTAGGAAGAGGCGAAGCGAAGCAGGCCGGCGCACAGGACTGCGAGTGCTGCACCCAGGCCAGTGCCCAGCGGACCAAGCCGGCAGAGAAACTGCAGTCCTACAAGCCCTCCCGGGCTCCGCCCGTCACCCACTGTGTGCAGGCGAGCGGCTCGCTGCTGCCTCCGGGGCCGAGCCAGTATGCTCACAGCGGGGGGTAAAAGAAGACTCGGCGTCTCGGCCTCGCGCAGCGCCGCAAGTTGCTCGTGTGGCACGCGGGTTACACCGCGCAGGTCACGTACCCGTTTTGCCCTAAGTGGTAGCTGGGGTGGCTCAGATCTCAGAGACTTCACTCTGCCGACGTCGGGTCTGCGCAGGCCAAGATGGAGACACACGGAAACCGAAACCAGGAGAGGCGGACGTGGCAAGCGCCGCCTGGGCTGGGCCTTGAGAACGCATTAAGGATTCTGAGCCATCCTGCTAGAGAAGGAGTTCAGGTCCTCTGCAAGGGCACTAAGCACTGTAACCGACGAGTGGTCTCTCTAGCCCCTTACTTGACTTTATATACACAATAAAAGGGCTTTGACTAGATATGTATGTCACTTTTATTTTAATTTGTAGAAATGTTTAAAATACAGAAAAACACAAATAAAATAGCAAACAGTCTTAGTGGAATCGTCCCAGTCGGACGGGATTGGTGGCTAGCAAGTGTTCTGCTCCCTTGCTGTGTTGTAGTTCCTAATCCTGCAATTCCCTCTAGACTCCCAGTAATCTTTTTTGTTTGGTTGTTTGGTTTTTTGAGACAAGGTTTCCCTTTGTATCCCTGGCTGTCCTGGAACTCACTCTGTAGACCAGGCTGGCCTCGAACTCACAGAAATTCAACTGCCTCTGCCTCCTGAGTGCTGGGATTAAAGGCGTGAACCACCACCACCTGGCTTTTTTTTTTCAGTAATTTTTCTAAGAAGAAGCCATACTTTTTAAATGGTTAGGATATTGACTATTGACTGATAAATTGCTTAGTGCCTGTAATCTCATAACTTGGGAGGCAGAGGCAGGAGGATCAGGCATTCAAAGCCACCCATGGTTACCTAGCAAGTTCAAGGACACCCTGGACTATATGGGATTCTGTCTAAAAACAAAGACATTGACTAATAAATCATCTTTCTTTAGATTTGAAGAACCCAGAATGTCTGATAATCTTATAACATCAAAATCTTATCCTTTTTCATTTTTATTTACGAATTTTTAAATGTCTTCAGATGTAGTATATTTTGATTATATTCTCTCCCCTCACCAAACTCCTTCTGATCCTCCCCACATCCCTACCCACCCAACTTTGTGTTCTTTCTCTCTCTCTTCCCCAAATGACCCCAAAGCCAAATAGATCAAAATCAAACAAAAGCCAATAAGACAAAAAAAAAAAAAAAAAAAGCAAAGCAACACACACACACAGAGGATGCTGTTTGGTGTTGTTTGTTGGGTCCAGGGGTGCAAAGGGTGGGGGACCAGACCAACAAAGTCTGAAGCAGAAGTAAACTTTATTAAAACAAAAGTCACCATGGGGCACAAAAAGCTTACCAGTTAACTGGGACCACAGCCAGAGATGGAGCTGTGGAGCTGTGGCAGCGGGTACTGGCTTGGGGCCTCTTACAGTAAAATCCAGCACCGAGTATGAGTCAACGAGCTTTTACAACCTTGAGGCCAGGCTTAAAGTCACATCACATTTTAAGTGGTACAGCTTTGGGCGATAGGATGATAGGATGTTAACTTAGGATGTTTGCTAAACCTGTGGCTGACACAGCCGCCTTGCTTTTCGCTGTCCTTGAAAGAGCTCAATGAAAGAAGACCCCTTCCCAGAAGCTATGTTACACATAGCGTGGGACGTGGTGTCCATTTCCCCTTCTTGGGGCTGGGATTTTGTCCATTTTGAGCCTCTGCAAGTCTTGTGCCTATTGTCAGAGCCCTGGTGAATTCATTTGTGTGGCAGCCCTGTTGTGCCTTGGAGTCATTCACTACCTCCATCCCATACAAGCTTTTTGTCTCCTCTTCCTCATGTACCCCTGACCCCTGAGGGGAGAGGTATGATGAAGACATCTCATTTAGGGCTGAGGGCTCCAAAATTTCTCACACTCCACACACTGTCCAGTTGTGGGTCTCTGTGTTAATTCCCATCTGCAATAAATCATTAGAACTCACTTTACTGCTTTGCTCTTTTAGTAGAATAATAGTAGTAGATTTCCCTACGGCTCATGACCTGTCTAGTCTCAGGTCCTTGGCCGCTACAGCTGTGTCATGGAGTGGGCTTTAAATCCAATCAAACTGGTTTGTTGCGCCCATAACACTCGTACAGCTATTGCACCAAGGTGCCTTGCATGCAGGTCACTGTTGTAGGTCATAGGGTATTAAGGCAAACATTATTTAGGACTTCAAGTTTTAACACTTTGGACCCATTCCTAAATCTTAAAATCTTAAATGCTCCTTACGAAAAACAAACAAACAAAAAAACCCAAAACAATGTAACTTAAGGGCTGGGCCAGATGACACAGCTAGGGAATCTTTCCCTGCCCCCAAAGACCTAAAATGGATCCTAGAACCCATGTAAAGGTGAAAAGAAAGAACCCACTCCAGAAAGGTGGCCCATGACCTTCACACATGTGTCATGCTGTAAAGAGAAGCCTTTTTGAGAGAAGCCTTCCCGCCAGCCTGGTTCTAGAGCCGCATCAGTCCCAAATAAACACACAGGAGGCTATATTAATTATGAAGCTGTTGGCCTTGTTTGTTTCTTACTGGCTAGCTCTGACTTAAGTAATTACCCCATAATTGTTAATCTAAGTATTTCTCTTACCGGAGAATAGTTCCAGGCTTCCTACCCCATGGTGTTACATCTTGACTCTCTTGTGTTTCTCCTTCCCAGAATCCTCCTGGACTCCTAGTCCCACCTATCTAGATTCCTATTGGCTCAACGGTGCTTTATTGACAAAGGACTTCCCCAACATCATGCCATACAAATACCAATGTGTTGGGCCCAGCCCCATGGGGTCTCTGTGAGTTGCTGGTCAGCCTACAAGTGCAACTTGTTTTCCAGTCCAAGTGCTTTCTGTTTTCTAGTCCTGGCTTACTGCCCTGGCCCTGACCCTCTGACATCAACATCTAGCAGGAGGAAAACATGCTCTCTTCTACCTGGGGTTTTTCCACTATGCTGTAAACCTGTATATAAAGTTCCTCCCTCCTACAAGGGAGAGACCTCTTAGCACTTGCAATGAAGACACACACACACACATTCTCCTGGCAATAAAGGCAACACATACATTCTCTTAGTACAAACAGTTTGTACGTCTGGTCTCTCTTTTCCTGATACCTCGGACCTAGCTTGTGGTGCAGGCGCCACACCAATGCATACACATAGAACACACAAAATAATAAATAATATAAAATGGGTAACTTAGAAAGCAAAAGAAGTGCGTGGTGATGGTGCACAGCACTCAGGAGGCAGAGGCAGGTGGATCTCTGTGAGTTCGAGGCCAGCCTGGTCTACAGAGAGAGTTCCAGGACAGTCAGGAGAAACCCTGTCTTGAAAAATCAAAAAAAAAAAAAAAGAAAAGAAAAGAAAGAAAAAATAGAAAAGCAAAAGAATGCATGCCATGCATAGAACACACAAAATAATAAATAAAAATGTAAAATATTAACTTAGAAAGCAAAAGGATGTATGACCACTGGAAGACAATAAAAGGATGCATGTCCACTGGAAGGCAATAAAAGGATGCATGTCCACTGGAAGGCAATAAAAGGATGCATGTCCACTGGAAGACTATAAAAGGATGCATGTCCACTGGAAGACTATAAAAGGATGCATGCCCACTGGAAGACTATAAAAGGATGCATGCCCACTGGAAGACAATAACACACAGCTGCCCCTTGAGGACCTGTGTCCGTATTTGGATGTGTCTTACTCTTACCCTGAGCATCTCCTTACTAAACTCTACCCTTACAACTTGTGGTAAAACTTGTTTAACCTCAGCCACCCAAATAGCTGGGGTTCCAGGCCTGTGCCCACCAGACCCAGCTCAAGATTTTAATCTATTCAACCACAACCACTCATGCATATTATTATTTTTCTTGTGTTTCAAGTTTTGTTTCTCATTCTTACAGGGTTCCTACAAAAATACTTGGGTAACAACAATTAACAAAATTAAGAGTGTAATTTTTCTATAGGAGAGCATGCTGAGGTGACAAAAATATTGTATCAAGAACTCCCCCTTTCACACACACACACACACACACAAATATATATATATATATATATATAAAGATCGGGTGTTGGTGGCGAAAGCCTTTAATCCCAGCACTCAGGAGGCAGGCAGATCTCTGTGAGTTCGAGGCCAGCCTGGTCTACAGAGCAAGGTTTTTTTTCCATGAGGTCAGTCAGCTCCGAAAAAAAGGTTGTGTGTGGGAAGCACAGGAACGTGCCTGGGGTCTTCCTGTTGTCACAGAAGCCTCATCTCCTGATCCAGTGGTCCTTAGTAACGCACTTTAAGCTGCACTTTGAGTTTTTCTGGCTGAAGTACCCAGATCTCATCCATTTATTCCTTAACATCCAAAAATGCTTTCAGTGATTTTGATGCTGCCAAAAACGGACTGTGAATGCTTATTAGGAAGCTCCACTGTGTCCAGGAAACAGACAGTGGAGTTATCTGGGTCTCAGGGTTACTATTGTGATGAAACATCATCCTCAAAAGCAGCTTTGGGAAGAAAGGGTATGTTTGCCTTACCTATCCTTAATCACAGTTCACTGAGGGAAGTGAGGACAAGAACTCAAGTAGGGCTGGAACCTGGAGGCAGGAGCTGATGCAGAGGCTATGGAGGGCTGCTGCTTACAGGCTTGCTCCTCATGGCTCACTCAGCCTGCTTTCTTATAGAACCCAGGACCACCAACCCAGAGATGGCATCACCCACAATGGGCTGATCATCCTACATCACTAATTAAGAAAATGCCCTACAGACTTGCCTACAGCCCAATCTTTTTTTTGCTTACTGACCATCTGATTCCAATTCTTTTTTTTTCTATTTTTATTTAAATTAAAATCAAGCTTGTTTTACTTGTCAGTCCCAGTTCCCTCTCCCTCCCCTCCTCCCCTGCAGCCAAATCTTACAGACTCCATATCTCAGCTAAGGTCCCTTTCTCTCAGATGCCAATCCTAAGCGCATTGACACTCAGGAGTTGACACTGAGGTATATATCCATGCATAGAAGTTTATCCCAGTCCACAGCCCCTATCCCTCAATGAGGCAGTTTGGTGGAGAGAGCGTGCCTGGGGCTCCAAAAGCCATCTTAAAGCTCATTAGACCAAAGACTGATGCTTTTGCTGCTAGGCTGTGTGACAGGCTCAATTTAATATTTCTCTCAGTTGCCAACCACATAGAAATCCTCCAGTGCTACGCTCCAGTCATAAGTCTTCCGGCAGCAGTGTTGGAAAGTGGAAGCCTACTTCCTGAGCCAATGAATCTTTCATAACCTATTTTCTTGGAGTATTCAATGTCCCAGGAGTTTCAAGGAGCTTCCATCAGGGTGAGCACTTGAAGATGGGGCAGTTTGGCAAATGCCTTCACCCATATACATTACTATCGATTTATGAGTTCACACTCTTATCAGGAGGTGGAAATCTGTGTCAATCAATGCATCTTTTGATATCCAGCTTATCTCCCAGTTGGCCCAGAGAAGACTTTTCCAGCTAACGGCGTCTTCCTTTGGTTCTTTGAGCTTCCGTATCTGAATGTTCCACGAACAACTTATTGTTTCTGTGCTGGAGTCCGTCTTCTCTTCAGGAGTTTTTATTCACTTTCCTCCAGTAAAAAAAAAAAAAACAAACAAAAAAACCCTCCACCCAAGCTCTGTCAAATGGAGGAAAATAAATGGGAAAAGGGGGGAGGGGAAAGAGGCAATCACCTCTGGGAACCAGAGTGGCAAAAAAGGAGAGGCAAAGGGGGGAGGGGGAAGGAGAGACAGAGAAACAGGCAGAGAAGCAGGGGGAGAGAGAGAGAGAGAGAGAGAGAGAGAGAGAGAGAGAGAGAGAGAGAGAGAGAGAGAGAGAGAGAGAGAGAGAGAGAGAGAGTCTAGAGTGGGCAAGGCCCACCTTTTAAAAGGGAACGAAGTGAATGTGCGCAGAAGCTGCTCTTAGCGTCTGCAGCTGAGGGTGTATCCTGTCAGGCACCCAAGGGCAGGTCAGTACAGATGCTTTGAATACTAACAGATGAGGCTAGAAATAATGATCCTGGGTAAGGTAACCCAGATTGAAGCAGAAATATCAAACTACACAAATTATGGATGTCCTATGATGTTTACTGAAAGAGGAATCACTTACGTGAAAAGCCAAGAAAGCTGAGAACCAAAGGTCCACACGCGGCTCTCCAGGTCGAAAATAAAACCCAAAGAGAAAGAGTCTCCTCCGGCTAGTTCTATTTACCCCTAGGTATCCGTGAACACACCCACACAGGAGTGGTCAGCTTTTATGGATACGTAAAATCACTTCCCACAACTCCCCTTTTAGTCTAAAGAAAAGATTTAAACTTGGGGCTGGAGAGATGGCTGAGAGGTTAAGAGCACTGACTGCTCTTCCAGGGGTCTTGAGTTCAATTCCCAGCAGCCATGGTGGCTCACAACCATCCACAATGAGATCTAGTGCCCTCCTCTGGTATGTAGGCAGAACACTGTATATGTAAAAAATAAATAAATCTTTAAAAAATCTCTTTTAAGAAAAGATTTAAACTTAATACAAAGCTCAAACATATGCAACATATATACATAGAAGGTGATAAGCGAGTTATAATTTACTTATATCCTAAACTAAGCATATATATCCCATCTAAATCCTAAACTTGCCTGAAAGATATTCCCAAATCTGAATACCTCCTTCTAATCCCAACCCTAAAATAATTGAAAACTAACACTAACAGGTGTAATATCAGCAGTAGGGAAAGGGGCTGTAGTATTCTCAAAATTACTTCCTGTTGAAATGGGACTGTGACAATCTCATGGAAACCTGTGGGAAGAAAATATTAGTATAACAAGAGTCTTATAGATTAAATAGTCTCTGTTCGGCAGGAAATTCTTGATTGAGGTTGTTGACTGAAACTCTGGCCAGATTGTAGGAGGTGCACCGTATCAGTTCATTGGTCCAGAGTTGTGTCAAGCAATATAGTTATTATTTGATAACTGTTCTGTTATATATAATTTGACTATGTTAAAGTTAAAACCTTTCTTTTATTTAGACAGGAAAGAGGAGATGATGGGGGAAGTTCTGTGTATGTGTCAATAAAGCACTGTTGGCCAATAGGAAGCAGGATAGGTGGGACCAGGAGTCTGGGAGGATTCTGGGAAATGTAGTGAAGAGACTGGTTGCCATGTGCTCTCCCGGGAGGAACGGACATGGCAGGAGTGCGCCCTCGTAAAGATAAGTCCTTATAAAATATATATTAGTAATTATGGGTTGATAATCAACTCAGAGCTAGGAGATAAGAAACCAAGCAAATGACCAACAGCTTCATAATTAATATAGCTTCCTGTGTGTTCATTTGAGACTGATGCGGCTTTGAAACCAGGCTGGCAGGAAGACTACACATTGCAACTGGATCCCCAAAGATAAATATTGCACATTTTCTGTACAGATGTTGGCCTTTAATATTTATTTGTGTGTGTTTTAGTCCAAATAACCAGAGATTAAGTAGCTAGTAGGGAACTCAGGGGAGGAGGGGATCTCTAAGGAAGGAGAAATAGAATATAGTAAATATAATAATATAAATAGATAAAAGAGAATTTGAATATGTGGGTGGGTGGAAAGGCAGAGTAAAGGAGGGAATATGGGAAGGAGAAAAATAATCATCAATACTACCCAGCTACAAACCTTTCAACCTATAACAGCAACCTGCCTACAAGATATACTAAAGCAATAGCGGCACAAATGTTATAGGAGTAACTAATCACTTTTTAAAAATTGGATTTAAGCATGTAAGGCCACTCCATGGGATCAACTTATATATGATGCTGCTAAAGTGGCCAAGAACCTGAGACTAGATAGGTTATGGATCCTAGGGAAAAAACTACCAGTATTATTCTACCAAAGGACCATAGGAATAAAATGTGATATTGTTATACCCGTAGAAGAGAGCATCATTCAGCCCTCATCAGAGAAGCTTCTCTTTACAGTAGATGATAATTAACACATTGACCCACAACTGGACATTCAGAAGGTGAAGTGGAAACAAAACAAAATCCCACCCCTAACCATGAAGCTATGTATAATTGATATCTACTGTGTATGTTAATGACTCTCCAGGGCAAGCCTATTACCAGAAGTAGCTGGCCACTGAAAACAGACTCCATGTTTTTGTGTGTGTCTGCGCACGCTTTCTTGCTTTCTTTCTTTTTTCCTTCCTTCTTTTCTTTTCTTTCCTTTTTCTTTCTTTCTTTCTTTTCTTTTCTTTTTCTTGAGACAGGGTTTCTCTGTGGCTTTGGAGGCTGACCTGGAACTTGCTCTGTAACCAGTCTGGTCTCGAACTCAAAGAGATCTGCCTGCCTCTGACTCCCAAGTACTGGGATTAAAGGTATGTGCCACCACCGCCCGGCTCTTTGTGCTTTCTTTTAGTTTTTAGTAATTTTTTCTCTTATTGGTTTTTTACGTTTTTGTTTTGTTTTGATTTCCATTTTTTGAGAGAGAGAGAACATTAAGTTGAGTGGGTAAAGAAGTGGGAAGCATCTAGAAGGGGTTGGGGTAGAAGAAAGATGAAAACTTTTTAATTAAAAAGAGATTATCTGTAAACTCAGAATTTGAAATACAAATTGTATTCACAAAGGTATATAAACATGTTTTTTAAATTTTATTTATTCATGTTTATTGAGACAGAGTCTTGTATAGCCTATATTGACTCCAAACTTGCCATGTTGTCAAGACTGCTCTTGTACTCCTCACCCTCTTGCCTTTGCCTCTCAAGTGTAGGAATTATAGACACGTTCAATGCCAAGCTACAAAATATAAATATAAATGTAAATTATAAAATATAAATATAAACTTTAGCAATTACAAATGTTAGGCAAGTGTTTGTCTGAGAGGCTACCTTAATCTGACTGTGTGGTAATTTATTTATTTATTTGTTTGTTTGTTTGTTTGTTTATATTTTAGAGACAAAGTTTCTAAGCGTAGCCCTGACTGTCCTGCAACTTGTTCTGTAGATCAGGCTGGCCTGGAACTCACAGAGACCCTCCTGCCTCTGCCCCCAAGTACTGGGATTAAAGTTCTATGCCACCACACCCATCTATGAGGTGTGGTGTGGCTTTTATTTGTGAGCCTAGAACAATAAAGTGATTTTAGTTTTTAGAAATCTCATGTTGAGGATATAAGTGATTGTTGTCAAATGTTATCCATTTTGCTGTGTTTTGCTGCATTTTTGAATTTGAGGGTGGGGTCAGGTGGGGGCAGGGTCTCAGTGTAAGAAGGAACAAAACTGAAGCCATTTAGGATAGTACTTCCATTTTGAATAAGGGTCAAATGAAGTTTAAGTCCCCCAGACTGTGGACAGAGGTTTCTGTCCTGTCTGATCCCACATCTGTTTAGTTCCAAAGAGTCTTATATTAATTATAAACTGTTTGGCCAATGGCTTAGACTTCTTGTTGGCCAGCTGTCTCTTAATTTTTAACCCATTTCTATCAATCTGTGTATCTCCATGTGGTCTTGGCTTACTGGTGATGCTGCCCTCTTTCTTCCTCAATAGCTACATGGCATCTGTCCCAAGACTCACTCCCTGTGTTCCTATCCCCAGCCTTCTAGTCTGGTAGCTCCACCTATACTTCCTATCTGGCTAGATCCTGTCTGTCCACTGGCCGAAACAGCTTTATTCATCAACCAATAAAAGAAACATATATTCACAGCATACAAAAGGACATTCCCCCATCACCAGACCTCCCTGGTTAACTGACATCCTGGTTGACATGAATGGTGGGTAAGCCAACCAATGAGAACAAGGTAAGTGTACTGAAGAACAATGTTCCCAGGAAAGTCCCCTATCCCTGAATCCTGATTGGTAGAAACTAACTGTAACTTGGCACAGACTTTTTTCCACAAAAATATATTTAATAACTTGTTATATAAAATCAAACACAAAATTTAATCAATAATTCAAACTCACTTCTAGCAGGGAGTGCTTGTATTTAGGAAAACTAAACTAAAATATATACATATTCACAACAATTGTAAGCATAACTGAGAAGTTATGAAATGCACAGAATTCCAGATTTACAGCTGGAAGTTCCATAAATTTATCTTAACCAAGTGTTTGGGGCTAATTATGAGCAACTATTAAGTCAAAAGCAAGAAAAATGGGAAGGAATGACCTGTTTATAAACCTTTATGACAAATACTTCTCTAAGATAAAAAAGGCAATATACAAGTGATCAAGATTTCTTACTGGATCCCTGATTGTTATTTTTGGCAACTTAGCCCAGCCTGGTGGAAGGCATTGTGCTATGTGGTCAGGGAGCCTGTGTTGTGTCTCACCAGAGCCTTGCTAACTGGAGCTGTGTGCTCTGACCCAAAGCAAGGAAGCAGTATCAGCAACAGTGGCACACACCTTCCCCACACAGGCTAAGGCCTCCTTTAAAGGTATTGCTGAAAGACTCCATCGCCCTGCTTACATTATGGAGCAGAATGAATGGATGACCACATACATCATATACAAGTTCATCACAATAAAGGTTCTGAGTCCTATTTCGAATTTGAACTACACCCATAGTAATGGTCAATCCACCTTGTTCCAGAAATGTGGTGATATTTTGTTTATGATCTAACAAATAAAGCTTGCCTGAAGACTAGATTGCAAAGCTAGCCACACTAGTTAGCCATAAAGGCCACCACAGTGGTGGCACACACCGTTAATCCCAGCACTAGGGAGACAGAAGCAGATGGATGTTCAAGGCCACTCAGAGCTACACGAAATTGATCCAGTCAAAAGAGAAATACCTCACACAAAGGTGATCCCAGCACTTGGAGTGACACACCTTTAATCCCAGCACTACAGAGGAATATAAGCTGGAGGAGACAGGAGCTCAGTGCAGTCTGAAGACAAGATTGCACTTCTGCTCTGAGTATTGGTAAAGGTTAAGAACTCTCTACTGGCTGGCTGCTTTGCTTCTCTGGTCTTCAGTGTTCACCCCAATATCTGTTTCTGGGTTGTTATTATCCATGCACAGACTTTTGTGATTTTTCAGATTTAAAAGTTCTGTAACATTCTGGCTTGAGGTCGAAGTTCAGCTCTGGGGTCAGTTCTGTGGCCCTGATTGATCAGTACCCATTTGTTTACAACAAATTTTGCCATCCTCATTGACTTGGTGTTTTTATGCCCAGTTCTCAGAACCCAAAAAATCCACCAACGGGATGACTCACCAAATGCAAGGACAAAGGTTTCTTTCTTTTTTTTTTTTTTTTTTTTGCAAGCTGCAACCTGGAATCTGCTCACTTGGGAACAAGAAGGATACGACCTTCTGCTGGGGGGGGGGCGCTAAAGGGAAAGTTCAAAACACTGAAAGTCTCAAGATTAGAAAGCTTCTATGGTTACATAGTATGAAACAATACCTGTATATTTAGGCAGGATGCAAGTAAGCAGGTTATTGTAGGGGGAAAAAGTTTGTTAATTATCTCCTGGGCCAGGGACTTTTACAACTGTGAATTGATGGCTATCTGATCTTCTTTAGGACAGAGAAATGTTGACACAGCTGGGGTGTGTTATCTCGTCTCAGGCTTCTACCCAGTCTTTTGCTTAGCCATATCTCTCAGGCTGCCTTTTGGGACCTCAGAGGAGCTTAAAAGTTTTCTTTTCCCTATATGGGCTTTGTGTTGTTCCCAAATTCTGAAACCCCAAAATCACCAAGAGACCCACCTTGATACAAAAACAAAGAGTCTTGGGCCATTGTCCATTCATCGAGGTAGATGCTTGGAGAAAGACCTGGAGAAACCACGAGGCAGGGAATATATTGGGTAGTGTAAGGTGAGTGTCTAGGGTACACAACAGTCTCAGGATTGGTGCTCTTCCAGGCTTGAGTGACCTGTCCTGTGTTGATTGACCAACTGGTTGTTATGGCCTATAAGCCCTCCCAGGGCAGCTGCTATGCTATGCATGTCTCTGTTGTACACTTGTACCATAGAGCACACCCTGTCATAAAGCACAGCCCTGTCAGCTAACTTCTGATTGGTCCCTTGCCATGTGGAGGGTATCTAATCTCCTAGTGACTGGGAGGATAGGCTAGGTCAGGAAGCTCAGCACATTTTGATAAGTCGAGGACATGGCAGCCAAAGCAGGGGGCTGAGTGAGGGTCTAGTCCCTTTAGTCACCAATCGAATCACAGGGGATGTCCATTCTGGCTATGCATCACTGCTGCCAGGAGTCTTAGCTGGGGCCATCCTTGCAGACTCGTGGGAATTTCCCCTGTATCAGGCTTCTGCCCAGCTCTGTAAAACCCCCCTTTCCAGTCATCTCTCCCCTCCACCCACTCCCATCCCATCTTTCGAGTTCCCATGCCCACCCTCCTCAAAACTCTTAAAGACTCACACAGTTCCAAGTCTCCATAAGACAGCTTCAGGATCCAAGAGAGCACAGCACAGTAATTGCTTCATTAAATCCATTTTTATGCAAATCAAAGGAAAAGCAAACAAAAGAATATTATCAAACTACCAAAGCCAGTGCCATCTTTAGTATGTATATTTCTCAATTCTCTAAACTTCTTTCTTAACACTGGGGAGTTTTAAAAACTATTGAAGCCTGAACTCCACCCCAGGGATTTTTCTTTTAAAAAAAACTTCCCCAACAAGTCTCATGTCAGCGGGGCCAGAAATCATTTCTCTAACAGAGTATCTGATTACGAAAAAAAAACATAATTAATTTAAAAGCATGGCACAGGAAAATTGCAGGCACGTGGGGGATAGATTTAGAAACCAAAAGGACACACTCTGCTTTTGAACAATGTTTACCTCTTGCAAGCTCAAATTCTGCATATGTTTCCACAGCCAAGCATCTTTGGCCATGTTCCTCCAGTTCCTATAACCATGAACGCTCTGCCATTTCCTGTTAAGGGCCTGTCTTCTGCCTTCCTTTTTGAAGCACTAAGGGAACAGGACTGCAGAATTTGACCAAGAGAGGGAGTCAAGGTCAGAGAAGACAAAATCCTCCGAGCCTGATGGCCACCAGCTGGCTCAGTAACGTCACATGCTCAGAGGGAGAGGCTGACACAGATGGAGGCGAAGCCTGGCTACAGAGACAGCATCTCTGTTGTATACTGCTTCTCTGTGCTCCTGTTGACCTAATTCCATTCTGCTGCTCCACTCCACTGCAGGAGAGTCCTTTCTGAACACAAAGTAAATGCTTAGGCACCCTGCTCTCCCTTCTTTATTTAAAAAATATATGGGAAGAAAATATAATGCCGAATGAAAGAAGCTAGGCACAAAGGCGCACACACTGCTTTAGTGCCTAATACTGAAGTTAAAAATAGTGCTGTTTCCTCTACAGTGTGGGCACGAGCCCCAGGGATCGCGTGGCTCATGCACACATCCCCTCCTGGGGCCTACAAAACAACTTTTGCTAGAGGAGGACCATTTGAAGGCAAGCAGATGATAAACGGTAACTATTATGTCTTGAACATATTAATGTGTGCTTTATACACAGTTATCGCATGTAATCTTCACCAAGTACCATCATTTCCAGTTTGTTAATATGAACCTGAAGGTCAGACAGGCTAAATAATCAAGTCACCAGAGCTTGCTTTCTGGTGGGTCAGCGGATCTGGTAGGAAGAACAGGGAAACGTTCCAGGCAGTTCTTTGCATTTTTCTGCGTAATTGTCCCCAGTAAACATTTGTCATTTATAAAATGATAAATCATTTTTTAAAAAAGTCACCAGAGCTTAATGTCATGTTCGAAATAACAGACAGAATTGCCTTCCCTTTGATGGACTAATAAAGCGAGGCATTTATTTAACACCCTGGCCCCTGTACCTTTCTCATCCGCGTATCCAGCAGTCCTCAGACACTGACTGTGTACCATCTGGGAACACTCCAGCCTGTAAGTCACTCTCCACCTATGTTCCCCCAGAAACACACATCCCTTAAGCTTGTGCATGAAATACAGTTTGCCCCTGAGTTATAGACTTGGGGCCTTTGGTCATATGGCTGCAGTTCTTGGGTACATTGATCTGGAGGAGAGCTTTTGTGGGAAATGTCCTCTGGGTCTCACAGACTCTCCTCATCTCTCACCACCTTGGGAGGAAGATGCAACCTGGGAGAAGCTAGAGCAGGCCCATTGAAGGCAGGGCCTGATAGCTTCTTCAGTTTCAAGGCTCTCTTTCTCCACAGCTAATAAGGAAAAAGATATGTGTGTTTTCATTGACTCTAATGCCATTAGCCTTGGCTGCACCTTGAGCTCTCCTTGCAGAGCTTTGGAAACAGGAGTTGGATGTCATCTCAGACTAACTAAACCCTAGTCTCTGCCAAGAGGACTCATTGTTAGTAGGAGGAAGTCTGATGCCGCCATTAAACATGTGACTTACTAAGTCTATGCCGCCATTAAACATGTGACTTACTAGAGGCGCATACAGATGAGGTAATAAAAGGGCGGTTTACCACACCGCTAACCACACCCACTTTAGGCAGGACTAAAGACGTATACGGCTGGACGTAAAGACGTATACATACGTAGGCGGAACTACGTCACTAGCCAAGCCCACTTTTGGGCATGGCTAGGGGCGTTACGGGGGAAGGCATAAAAGACAGCGCACAGGAAGTCTCGCTCTTTTTTCCTGGAGTTCGGCTTCCGGTCCAGTCGCTAGCTGAGATCTGCTGGGCTTCTCGGGGTTTGGTATCTTGTGAGTAATTTTCTACATTAAATACTTAGCTTCACTTTCCGTAATTGTGTGTCGCGTATCGTTACAGCGTCCGTAAAGCCAACAATTTGGTGTCAGAAGTGGGATACTGTTTGTTTGATGGTCCCCAGGGTAGCTATTCATTTAGACTTAAAACAAAACTAAATTAGCCAGGTGTGGTGACGCACACCTTTAATCCTAGCAATTGGGAGGCAGAGGCAGGCGGATCTCTGTGAGTTAGAGGTCAGCCTGGTCTACAAGAGCTAGTTCCAGGACAGCCTCTAAAACAATACAGAGAAACCCTGTCTGAAAAAAACAAAACCAAAACCAAAAACAAAAACAAAAGTACTTATGTCAATATACAAAATATCTCAAACATATATGAAGCATATATACATAGTAGCTGATAAACAAATTATAATCTACCTATATCCTATCCTAAGCATATCTATCCCATCTAAACCCTAAACTTACCTGAAAGAGATGCCCAAGTCTGAACACCTCCTTCCAATCCCAACCCTAAATAATTGAAAACTAACCCCAACAGGTGTAAAATATCCTGCAATATCAACAGTAGGGGAAAGGGGCATTCTCAAAATTACTTCCTGCTGAAATGGGACGATGACAACCTCATGAGATCCTGTAGAAGAAAATGTTAGTGTAATGAAAGTCTCAAGTGGACTAACTACAACATTTGCATTCAGTCTCTGTTGGCAGGAGATGCTTGATTGAAGATCTTGATTGAAGTTCTTATGTTGATTGAGGTTCTTGTCTCAGGCTCTGGCCAGAGTGTAGAAGGTGCACCATATCAGTTAATTAGTCTGGAGTTGTGTAGAGTGTTGTAGTCCCAAACCAGTTTCAATGTGGTACTTGTCAGTTCAGATGCATCAAGTCGGATCAGGTAGAATCGATGAAGTGGGGCCCCATTTTCTTTCCAAGTATTTGAAGATTGCTGCTAGGAAATTCCTTGTTCTCTGTGGAAAACTCAAACATTAATGTCAACAAGGAAATTTCAACTTTTACATGTATGCATACCAGGGAAGGCAACTAAAAGGAAGATATTAAATGTGAGGGAAAACAGACTTTCAGAGAAAGAACCGAGTATAAACAGATGACAGTCCCTAGATTTTGCTTTCTTCTGTCTTACATCAATTAGCTCCTTGATATAATATAGAAACTCTGAATTTTATTTTTAACAACATGTTTGGATTTAGAAGGGGAGAGCCAAATCCAACTCCAAAATCAGTGTTGGTTTAAGTGAATTGGGACCAAAAGAGTATTAGGAAGTAAAAGGAAGTAGATATTATAAGGATGAAGTTAAGAGAATTAGACATTGATACCAAACATTAGATTCTTCTTTGTTCAATGGTTCTTTGGGTAGCCATCCTTTCTTTAGGTATCTGCACATTCATTATCTTCTTGCTGTTTGGAGATGGGTTTTCCTGTGAAGATAAAAACAAAATGCTTCCCTTTCCTTTTGTGAGGTCCTTACACATCATAGACTATGACTTTTGTGGATGAGCTGTCATTTTTCCTCCTCCCAAGGATTCTCCTGTTCGAATCGAATCTTGATCAATTTTGATGGAACCCAAAACTTTTCTTCTCTTGTGGAAACAAAGGTGAAACCTCTTCCCCAATGTAACACATATCCTGGTTTCCAAACTGAGGTCATCACATCCTTGAAATACACTGGCTGATTTAGTACAGAAGTTTTTTTTCTGTATTCCAGTGTCTTTCTGCAGCTGTTTGTCCTTTCTCATTAGAGTTAAGAAAGTTTAATATTAATGTTAATAAAGCATTATATAATCTGTGTTTGGGGGTCTCTGTCCCCCCCTGGCTGTTAATGGAGCATTTCAATATTAGCTGTATACAAGACCCATTTGCCCAATGGTGCTGATCTGATTTTTAATGGCCAAAGTACCTGTTTGCATTGTGGATTTGCATTCTCATAAGCTAGAGATTCTATAAGGATTCACCTAGAATTTGAGTCAGTTACCTGTAATTCTATTGCTCTGGACAGTCTTTGTAAGAATTCAGGGAAACTTTCTCTCAGTTCTTGTACAACCTTGGATAAGGTTCTATTTTCTCTCCTGGTTCATGAACCTTACTCAAAGCATTCAGAGCTGCTGTATGGCATAAAGACAAGATGTGTACGTCATATTCAGCCTGAGCACCCTCACCAAGAATCTTATCTTGGGGAGCTTCATGACCTTTCTTTAGTCCTTGAAGCTCAAGGGCCTTTGCTTCCTCCCTCTATAAAGCTCTCCATTGTATTTGAGATGAATTTTCTAGCACAGCTGAAATCAATTGACTCCTGTGTGCCTCCAATGCCTGGCCTTATACTTTTGTTTTATCATCTTTAAATAGGTAATAATCGCAACAGTCCTAACTACACAGTTATTGCAAATATTAAATGGATCTTCAGAATGTGTCCAGCCCATGGCAGGAGGGTGGATGAGCTAGTTTTGTGTCAACTTCAGACAGCTACAATCATCTGAGAAAAGGGAACCTCAGTTGAGAAAAGCCTGTAGGGCATTTTCTTATTAGCCATTGATGGGGGAGGGTCCAGCCCCTTATGGGTGGAGCCACCCTGGGTTGGTGGTCCTGCATGCTATAAGAAAGTAGCTAAGAGGAACAAGTCAATAAGCATCCCTCCTTGGCCTCCATCAGCTTCAGGTTACCGCTCTGTTTGAGTTCCTGCCCTGACTTCCTTCAATGATTAACAGTGATGTGGAAGTATAAACCAAATAAACTCTTTTTCCCCAATTTGCTTTTAGCAATGATAACCCTGACTGTGACAGTGCCAAATAAATTAACTGGCAAATACTGTTTGCCTGGCGTTGATCTAGGCTCTGTAAAAATAGTGAGGAAAAGACAAAGAGCCTAGAAAGCTGTGCTATCTCTCTTCATGTCACTGCTCCTCAAACTACCACAGCTCAGAGCAGAACTGTAGCCAGGTGTAGTGGTGCACATCTGTAACCCCAGTTTCACAGGCTGAGGCGGGTGGGTCAGAGTTCCAGGCCAGTCAGTCTTGCAATGAGATGCTGCCTCAAGAGCCAGTAACAGAGGAATGAATAAAGAAAATGTGATGTACACAAAGGGACCAGGCCCTCACCCAGCCCCCTGGTTTGGCAGCTGTGACAGGCTGCAGAAAAGATGCAGCAAGATGTAGGCTGCATGTGCTGAGCCCCCGACCTTGCCCTAATTACCGGGAAGAAACTACCAGAAACTCTCCATGTGGTAAGGAACCAATCAGAAGTTAGCTGGCAGTTTTGGATGTGCTTTACTGATAATAGTGGACTGCAGTAGATAACAATGGCCCTTGGATTACACCAGGCATAATAACCTTCCTACAGCTGCAGCTGACCAATCAACCCAGGACAGGTTCCCCCATCCCAGAGTTGTGCCAGTCCTGAGACTTACTATGCAACAAGCAGACC